GATGGAGTCTCGCTCTGTCACCCAGGCTGGAGTGCAGTGGTGTGATCTCGACTCACGTCCACCTATGGGTTTCAAGAAATTCTCCTGCCTCAGCCTCATGAGTAGTTGGGACTACAGGTACCCGCCACCCCAACCTGGTAATTTTCGCATTTTTAGTAGAGACGGGGTTTCGCCATGTTGGCCAGGATGGTCTCATTCTCCTGACCTCATGATCCACCTGCCATGGCCTCCCAAAGTGCGGGGATTATAGGTGTGAGCCACTGCGCCTGGCCAATTTTTTGTATTTTTAAAGTAGAGACAGGGTTTCACCATTTGGTCAGGCTGGTCTCGAACTCCTGACCTCAGCTGATCCAGCCGCCTTGGCCTCCCAAACTGCTTGGATTATAGGCATGAGTCACCACGCCTGGCCAAAAATATCTCAATATAGTTAAATTTATACTTATGATAAATAAAAAACCCCTTTTCATTTGTTAAAGAGCTACTGGTATTGGCTTTTCTATGTAATAATATTATAATAAGAAAAATGAATTTAATCAAAAAACTAAAGACTTGTTATCTATTGTTTTAAATTAGTTAATAAATATAAGGATTTATGTATTATATGGTTTCATCACTATTAAAACTATAAACTAGGCTGGGTGCAGTGGCTCATGCCTATAATTCCAACACTTTAGGAGGCCGAGGCGGGCGAATCACGAGGTCAAGAGTTTGAAACCAGCCGGGCCGAATGGTGAAACCCCATCTCTACTAAAAATAGGAAAAATTAGCTGGGTGTAGTGGCAGGTGCCTGTAATACCAGCTACTCCAGAGGCTAAGGCAGGAGAAGCACATGAACTTGGGAGGCGGAGGTTACAGTGAGCTGAGACATGCCACTGCACTCCAGCCGGGGCAACAGAGTTGAGAATTTGTCTGGGAAAAAACAAACAAACAAAAAAAAAACCTATAAACTGTACAATGGCCATATTAATCAGATATAGCAGTATACTAAATTCCACAAAGCACTTGTTTTCTGAATTAATTCTACGTATTCCATAAAAGAAACACAAAAATAAGTAACAAAAATATTAACATAGCTCTTTAAATATAATTTGAATATTACTTACTCTGTCAAGAGACTTTCTCCTGCTTCTGTTTCTAAAAATAAAATAAAAATTAAATTTGTCCAAGGACACACTGATAAAGCATTAGAAAAATTACTTAAGGACATTAACAACAATGTTTTAAAAAATTATTAACTGGCAGGCACGGTGGCTCACACCTGTAATCCTAGTACTTTGGGTGACTTGAGGCCATGAGTTGGAGACCAGCTTGGCCAACATGGTGAAACCTTGCCTCTATTAAAAATACAAAAATCAGCCGGGCGTGGTGGCTCAAGCCTGTAATCCCAGCACTTTGGGAGGCCGAGGCGGGTGGATCACGAGGTCAAGAGATCGAGACCATCCTGGTCAACATGGTGAAACCCCGTCTCTACTAAAAAACTACAAAAAATGAGCTGGGCATGGTGGCGCGTGCCTGTAATCCCAGCTACTCAGGAGGCTGAGGCAGGAGAATTGCCTGAACCCAGGAGGCGGAGGTTGCGGTGAGCCGAGATCGCGCCATTGCACTCCAGCCTGGGGGACAAGAGAGAAACTCTGTCTCAAAAAAACAAAAGGCCTGGGTGCAGTGGCTCACACCTGTAATCCCAAACACACTTCAGGAGGCCGAGGCAGGCACTTAACGAGGCTAAGAGATCGAGACCACCCTGGCCAACACGGTGAAACCCCTTCTCTTCTAAAACTACAAAAAGTAGCTGGGCGTGGTGGCACATGCCTGTAGTCCCAGCTACTCGGGAGGCTGAGGCAGGAGACTTGCTTGAACCCGAGAGGTGGAGGTTGCAGTGAGCTGATATCAAGCCACTGCACTCCAGTCTGGCGACAGAGAAAGACTCTGTCTCAAAAAAAAAAAAAAAAAATTATTAACTATCCACTCTACTCTATACCCCTAAGACTCAAGGTATACTTCAGGGTCTCGCCTTGTTGCCCAGGCTGTAGTGCAGTGGTGTAATCACTGCAGTCTCAATCTCCTAGGATCAAGTGATCTTCTCACCTCAGCCCCCGCAAGTAGTTGAGACCACAGGTGTGTACCACCACACCTGGCTAATTTTTTATTTTTTGTAGAGACGGGGTTTCACCATATTGTCCAGGTTGGTCTTGAACTCCTAGGCTCAAGTGATCCTCCCACCTCAACCTCCCAAAGTGTTCGGATCACAGGTGTGAGCCACTATGCGTGGCCCATCATATACTTTTTAAGCAATAAGATAGACAATAAGTTATATCAGTTGTCTGGTTAGATAGCCACAGCAAAATTTTAAAGAAAGCAGATTTAGCAGGAATTACAGTAACACACTTACCTGCCATTTCTGACTTTCTCACTATTTCCATATGAGACTCTGTCTGGAATACCCTAGAAAAGAAAATAAAGATTATTGAAAATCTGCAATTTGTAATCTTTTTTTGAGACGGAGTCTTGCTCTGTCAGTCAGGATGGAGTGCAGCAGCATGATTTTGGCTCACTGCAACCTCCGCCTCCTGGGTTCAAGCAATTTTCCTGCTTCAGCCTCCCAAGTAGCTGGGATTACAGGTGCACGCAACCATGTCCGGCTAAGTTTTATATTTTTTTTAGTAAGATGGGGTTTCACCATGTTGGCCAGGCTGGTCTCGAACTCCTAATCTTGTGATCTGCCCATCTCAGCCTCCCAAAGTGCTGGAATTACAGGCTTGAGCCATTGACTCAACACAGACTATAAATTAACACTTATTTATAGGTAAAGATAACACTTTGATTTTAGCTGCCTCTTTGCTATTACCATATACTCTTAATATTTCAAATGCCAAAATTAGTTTACTACAATAAAATCTATCATAGTTTTGTTTTTGTTTTTAAACAGGGTCTCACTTTGTTGCCCAGGCTAGATTGCAATGGTGCAATCACAGCTCACTTTAGCCTCAATCTCCCAGGCTAAAGCGATCATCCCACCTCCATCTCCCAAGAAGACTCGCCAACATACCTGGCTAATTTTTTTGATTTTTAGTAGAGACAAGGCTGTTATAATTTACTTATTTATTTCATTTATTTACTTTTTTGAGACAGAGTCTTGCTGTCTCACCAGGTGCCAGGCTGGAGTACAGTGGGAGGACCTTGGCTCACTGCAACCTCCACCTCCCGAGTTCAAGCAATTCTTCTGCCTCAGCCTCCTAAGTAGCTGGGACTACAGGCGCACCACGCCCAGCTAATTTTTGTATTTTTAGTAGAGACAGGGTTTCACCATGTTGGCCAGGATGGTCTTGATCTCTTGACCTTGTGATCCGCCTGCCTTGGCCTTCCAAAGTGCTGGGATTACAGGCGTGAGCCACCAACCCTGGCCTTATTTTTAAATTTTTTTTTTTTTGAGACGGAGTCTCACTCTGTCACCCAGGCTGGAGTGCAATGGAGCAATCTTGGCTCACTGCAACCTCTGCCTCCCAGGCTCAAGCAATTCTCTTGCTTCAGCCTCCTGAGTAGCTGGGATTACAGGCACGTGTCACCGTGCCCAGCCAATTTTTCCATTTTTAGTAGAGATGGGGTTTCAACATCTTGGCCAGCCTGGTCTTGAACTCCTAACCTCGTGATCCACCCGCCTCAGCCTCCCAAAGCGATGGCATTACAGGCGTAAGCCACTGCGCCCGGCCCTATTTTTTAATTTTTAACTAAGATTCTGAGCCATTTGTTACTGCAGAGGTTATAGTTTTTAAATGAGCTCTTAGTAATTATTTTTTCTTTCAATAACCTAAAATATTAATTTAATTCAACAAGTATTTATTAAACACTCACTATATACCTGGTACTATACTAGAATCTGGGATACAAACACATGATCCTTCACTCAAGGGGCTTCCACTATAAGTACAGAGGTGGAACAGTGATTATAAACATTATTTCACTGGCTTTTGTTATTAACAGTTAAGGTACCGTAGCATGGACTCCACAGGAAAGGATCCCTTTTCACTGGGATGAGTAAGAATAAGCTTTGTCGAGCATTTGACGCCTGCCTTGAATCTGACCAGTTAATTCTAATTCTGCTAATATGAAGTACCACTCACTATATAGAGGCTATTCTTTTTCCTTTTTTGAGACAGGTCTCACTCTTGCCCAGGTTGGAGTGTAATGACACTGGTATGGCTCACTGCAGCCCGGAACTCCTGAGCTGAAGCAATCCTCTGGCCTCAGCCTCCCGAATATCTGGGACTACAGGCGCAAGCCATCATGCCTGGCTAATTTTTATTTTTTTGGCAGAGATGGGATCTTGCTAAGTTGCTCAGGCTGGCCTCAAACCATTGGCCTCAAGCAATCCTCTGGCTTTGACCTCCCAAAGTGCTGGGATAATAGACATGAGCCACCATACCTGGCCCCTAGTACAATGCTAAACAATAGTTGAATATCATTGTTTTGTTCCTGACTTCAGAGGGAATTTTTTCATTGTTTCTCTCTTAAACATAATACTGAATAACCTTTTAAGTAACAACTAATGTTTAATCAAAACAGTGAATCAAGTCAGTACCAAAACATTTGGTTTGATACATAGAATACTAGCAGTACCTGTAATATTTTAGTTATTTCTGCTTTCAACTTACTTTATAGTATCTGCAAAGCTGACTCGACGTGAGTTTTTCTTATTTCTCAAAGCATTGGATTCCTAAGGGCAGAGAATATATGCTGTAAGTCTTAGAAATATCACAGTGAATTACATCTCAGAGTATTATAGACAGAGATCAACTCCTTTTTTTTTTTTTTGCCTTGAGACAGAGTTTTGTTCTGTCACCCAGGCTGGAGTGCAATAACTCAATCTCAGCTCAATGAAACCTCTGCTTCCCTGGTTCAAGCAACTCTCATGTCTCAACTTCCCAAGTAGCTGGGATTACAGGAGTATGCCACCATACCCAGCTAATTTTTTGTATTTTTAGTAGAGACAGGGTTTCACCATGTGGGCCAGGCTGGTCTTGAACTGACCTCAAGTGATCCTCCCACCTTCACCTCCCAAAGTGAGAAACTGCCCCTGGCCAGAGATCAAGTCTTATTCTGAATTACTGCTTCACATGTTGTACTATGTGTCAGAATTTCCTTCTTTTTTTCAAGGCTGAATAATATTTCACTTTAAGTATATATTATCACATTTTGTTTATCCATTCATCCATCAATGGGCGCTTGAGTTGCTTCCACCTTCTGGCTACTGTGATTAATGCTGCTACGAACATGGGTGTACAAATAAATATCTCTTTGAAACTCTCCTTTCAACTCTTTTAGATATATTCTCCTTTCAATTCTTTTCAAATCCAGAAGTGGAATTGTTGGGTCATATGGTACTTCTATTTCCAATTTTTTGAGAATTGCCGTACTGTTTTCAATAGCAGCTGTACCATTTTATATCCTCACCAACAGAGCACAAGGCTTCCAATTTCTCTGCATCCTCATCAACACTTGTTATTGTCTGTCTTTTTTTTCTTTTTGAGAGGGAGTCTCACTCTGTCACCCAGGCTAGAGTGTACTGGTGTGATGTCGGGCCACTACAGCCTCCACTTCCTGGGTTCAAGCAATTCTCCTGCCTCACCCTCCTAAGTAGCTAGGATTACAGGTGTGCAACACTGTGCCTGGCTAATTTTTGTATTTTTAGTAGAGACAGGGTTTCACCATCTTGGTCAGGCTGGTCTCGATCTCCTGACCTCATGATCCGCCTGCCTAGGCATCCCCAAATGCTAGAACTACAGGTGTGAGCCATCTGTTTTCTATGTTAGCTATCCTAATGGGTAGTAGTGAGGTGGTATCTCATTGTGGTTTTGATTTGTATTTCCCTAATGGCCAATGATGTTGAGCATCTTTTCATTGGAATATACTATTTTTACTTTCCTTCCCCACCTTCCTTAACAAGAGCAAACATTTCTACTCACATAAATACGACACACAAACACCAAAAGACATTAAGGATGAACTTGCTGTTTTGTTTTTTTTTTCTTCTTTTTTTTTTTTCACCATTG